ACTGACCCCTGTGGAACCCCGCTCGTCACAGGTGCCCACTCTGACCCCTCATCACCTACCATGACTCGCTGCTCCCTGCCCTCCCGTCGGATATTATCTGATTCATTCCCATGCCTTCCCTGTTATACCTGCCTGGTCCTCCAGCTTTTGCACTAGTCTCTTGTGTGGAACTGTGTCAAAAGCCTTCTTACAGCTCAAGAAAACGCAATCCCACCCCCTCCCCCCTTTCTCTCCTGTCTTACTGTGGGGAATTTCATGATTCCCCAGAGCTGTTATGCCCACCCCCTCAGTAGGGGGTATATAGAGGAGAGGGGGATTAAGGGAGACGCTTAAAGTGAAGTGTTAATTCTGTATATACTTATTTCTAAGAATTAGCCTCGTAACTCGTAGACTAATAATGCACTACAATTACTACTACACATATTTAAGCTAAGTTAGAGATAGTCGTTTAGCTTAAGGCAGTAGTTACACTTCCCATAAACGAACGCCTTAGGTACCTTCTTTCCCGCCAAAGGAACCCTGGGGAGGACCAAGCCGCGGCTGAGAGCTGCAGTCACTTTTCGGCTGTGAGAAGGGCACCCTCCCCTCCGTGTCCTTGCGCAGTGAATACTTTCGTACCCCATACGATCACCGCAAGCAAGACTCTCGTTAGCTGGAGCAGGCAGTTGTGTGACTCACACAGGTAGTTCTCAAGTATCCCCTGCCCCAAGGCTACCACATGAGTATTGGTGAATGCATTCAGGTGTACACACGTGCATAGAGGTGGCACTACCATAGAAACTGTCTGATATGACAATCATCACACTGCCTACTGTGGGAAATAAAGGTTAGTATACATTGATTGAAGTACCCTGGAGTGGAGCAGCAGGCTTCAGGCTGAATTCACGACTGATCCACGGACCAATAACCCTACCCAGTCTTGCCCACACATACACTGCCTTAATTCCACACCTTTTGTCCTTCAAACCGGATGTAGCCTAGCTATGGTCTACAGAACCAGTGGCAACTTAGCTAGGCTCACACAGACCCAATAGGTCTAGTTAGCACCTACGACTACACTAACATCTACACCTGGCGATTGATCCTTCGCTGTTGACCACTACACACATATAGACACTCAACTGAGCACCTTGTACTATGGGAATTGTATATCCTATATTACATTACCAGTAACAGATATACATACAGTCAATTAAATTGGTACCACAACCGTTATGTCCAATTCCAATATGGCGACAATTTGAATCAAGGGGACAAATCCCAGGGCAAGCCGTCATTAACAAGACACCTTTGAAGCTCCCCATCCTCACTACTGTATACAATGGGGAAACGTCACTGTGTGGCCCTTACCAACAGACCCGGCCACATACTCTAAACTATCCAATGAGATCTAGACCCCATGAGTCATCCAGCGATCGCAACGGAGCCTTCAATAGCTCAGGGACACCGCGGGGAATGATAGCTCATGACTTTGACTATGTCAAACACTCCTCTCCCCCTCCCCACCTTCCGAGTGTGAGAAATTTTGTGATTCCCCAGAACTGTTATGCCCATCCCCCAGTAGGGAGAATGTAGGGGAGAGGGGGATTAAGGGAGATACTTAAGAAAAATGTCAATTCTGTATATACTTCATTCTAAAAATTAGCCTCAGCTCCTGGGCTAATTATACACTACAAATATTGCATTACTACTACATATATTTAAGCTAAGTTAGAGATAGGCGTTTAGCTTAAGGCAGTAGTTACATTTCCCATAAACAATAAATGCCTTAGGCACCTCCTTTCCCGCCAAAGGCACCCTGGTAAGGGCCGAGCTGCAGCTGGGAGCCGCAGTCACTTTTTAGCTGTGAGAAGGGCACCCTTCCCTCTGTGTCCTTGCACAGTGAACACTTTCGTACACCATACCATCGCCGCAAGCAAGGGTCTCATTAGCTGGAGCAGGCAGTTATGTGATACACACAGGTAGTTCTCAGGTATCCCCTACATAGAGGTGGCACTACCATGACCAGAGACCTACCATAACCACTGTCTGATTCGACAATCATCACACTGCCTCCTGTGGAAAAGAAAGGTTGGTATACATTAATCGAAGTATCCTGGATACTGAATCTGCGACTGAATGATGGACCAATAACCCTATCCACTTGTGCTCACACATACACTGCCTTAATTCCACACATTTACTGCTCTAGTAGGTTTGTAACAGGATTTTCCGTCTCTTCTGATAATGTTCTCCATGACTTTGCATATATGTCAGTGACACTGGTCTGTAGATTAATGCTGAATGTTTGTCCCCTTTTTTAAAAACTGAGACTACATTTGCTGTCTTCCATACCTCTGGTAATCGCTCTGTTTCGATAGATGTGTGGAAGATTGTTGTTAGAGGTACACAAAGCATCTCTGCTCCCTCTCTGAGGACCCACGGAGAGATGTTATCCGGCCCAATCGCCTTTGAGATATCTAGTTTGCTTAGTAGCTCTTCAACTCTCGTTGGTTGAATGTATCATGTCCAGCACTTGGTATATCACACCTCTCCGTCTTTCTGGAGCCCTTTCTGTCCCTACTGTGAATACATTTTTGAATCTCATGTTGAGCTCCTCACAAATTTCAAGGTTGTTTCTCGTAAACTCCCCTCCTTCCTTCTTCAGCTTGATTACCTGGTATTTGATTGTTGTTTTCTTCCTAATCTAACTGCATAGCAGCTTTGGGTCAGACTTGGCTTTTGCTGCTATGTCATTTTCATATTGTCGTTGGGCCTCCCTCTTTACCTGTGCATATTCATTTCTGGCTCTTCGACTACTCTCTTTGTTCTCCTGGCTCCTTCCATGCTCTATTGCACTTGGTTTTAGCCTCTCTGTACCGTTGGGTGAACCAAGGGCTCGTCCTGGCCTTCTCATTATGTTTGTTGCTCTTTGGTACAAGCCTCTCCTCCACTTCCTTGCATATTGTTGTCACCTATTCCATCATCTTATTTACTGTTTTCCCTGCCAGTTCTGTGTCCCATTGGACCTCGTGCAGGAAATTCCTAATGCCTGTGTAGTTCCCACTCTTGTAGCTTGGCTTCATTCTTCCTGCCTCCCTCTACTATGTACCCGAGGCTTAGAACCACGTGATCACTAGCTCCAAGGGGCCTTTCATGTATGATGTCCTCAGTATCTGCACTGCTCAAGGTGAATACTAGGTTCAGTCTTGCTGGTTCATCCTCTCTTCTCTCTCTCTGGTAGTGTCCCTAACGTGTTGATGCATGAGGTTTTCCAGTACCACTTCCAGCATCTTAGCCCTCCATGTTTCTGGCCCCCCATGTGACTCCAGGTTTTCCCAGTAGATTTCTTTGTGATTGAAGTCACCCACAACCAGTAGCTTTACCCTACCCATATGGGCCTTTCTGGCCACTTCAGCCAATGTATCAACCATCTCTCTGTTACTTTCATTGTATTTTTGTCTTGGCCTCCTGCTGTTATGTGGTGGGTTATACACCACTTCAATCGCCACTTTAGGACCTCCAGTCTGTAGTGTAGTGTTCCTATTATGTAGTCCCTTGCTTCTCCTCTGTCTCCTCTCCCCAACTCTTCAAAATCCCATTGGTTTTTGATGAGCAATGCCATTCCTCTTCCCCAGTCTTTCCTCAGGATCCGATATCCAGTTGGAGAGATGGCATTTGTTAGCATTCCTTAGAGCTTGGTTTCTGTGAGGGCTATGATGTCTGGTGACACTTCTGTGATTCTTTTGTGCCATTCCTCCCACCTATTCATTATACCATCAGCATTTGTGTACCATTCCTTGAGTTTTCTCTCCAACACTGTATTCTGGGGGGTTTGTGAGGGTGGGGGTCCTGAGAGGGTGCTATGGAATTCTGCTGCATATTTGTGGGATGAGGGTTGTGAGTGTGGGGTGTGTTTGGCTGCAGGATTCTGTGGGTGGTTGTGTGGGTGTTTGTGCACTCTGTTCCACTCGACTCTGGTTGTTCTTTACTGCCTCTTGCCTTGTCTCTCTTTCCTTCCGTTTTCATCTCTGTGTTCTCTCTCTCAGCTCTTGTCATTCTGTCCTCATTCTGTCATGGTCTAGGAACATCCATCGGTATGTTGTTGATTCCTTTTGCCATGGTTTCTCCTTCTGGATCCTGTTTCACACCGTTTCTGTCTTTAAAATCAGTTTGACTGGCGGATTTCTCTCCTTCGAATACTCCCCTGTTCTTTGAAAAAAATTATTAGCTCAGACATATCCTCCTTTCTCTTTGGTGATATTTTCAATCTCTTGTTCTTCTTTCCATCATATTTCATCATACGTCTTCCCTTCGCTCTCCTGAAATCCGTGGATGAAGATGGGCCTCTCCCTCTCCTCCTCCCATCATTTTTTCCCCTCTGCATCTCTGGGTCCCATTTATACATGGCCATCACCTCCTTTATTAGTTCCTGCCTCCTGGTGGCCTTGTCATGCCTCCGCATTGGGCCTATCTCCTCCACCTGCGCCATTCCCTCATTTACTGCTGTTAGTTACCATTTTGTCCTAGGCACATGTCGATTAGACACTAGGCCTGTTGTGTGTGTGTGTGTGTGTGTGTGTGTGTGTGTGTGTGTGTGTGTGTGTGTGTGTGTGTGTGTGTGTGTGTGTGTGTAGTGTGTGTGTGTGCGTAGTGTGTGTGCGTATGTGTGTGTGTCTGTGTGACCCAAAGAAGAAAACACGCTCACCATCATTCTCTCAATCGCCTTCTTTCCAGAAGTGTCCTAACATCACAGTCAGATTACCCTCCGACTGCAGCATCTCCACTCTCAGAGTGCTGGCACTGCCCTTCCCACCTCCAGGACTCAAGTCTGGTTAATCGTCAACTCTGAATCCTTTTATAAAGGTTACCTTGCTTACACTCCAAAAGCATGTCATTAAAAACCATTTGTCTTCATTCACTCCTGTCTAACACACTCACATAAACCTACTAGATACTCAGGTCTCCCTTTGTTGACCTAAATGTTCCCTGTATACTGATGACCATTGATGACACTACAGGACCGGGAGCTGGGTCAGACTGTGATGGTGCAGTGCTTCAATGCTGGGGCGCTAACTCTGGGAGCGCTACGAACTGCCTTCGTCGACCTGCTGGTCATATCCACCCATGGTGGTGAACTCAACGTTTTCTCCAGCATCCCCATCACCATCCACTATAGAGTGAGCACCATTATTATTATTATTATTATTATTATTATTATTATTATTATTATTATTATTATTGTTATTATTATTGCTGTTGTTGGTGTTGTTTGTATTATGCACCTTGTGATGTTTGAACATAGTCATAGAGTAGAATCACCTCTACACTGTTTATGAATTTACTGAGTACTGCTTCTGGGACGTAACTATCCAGGAGCAGTTTAGAACTTAGTCTCTTGACGCATCTTCCCGTGTAGACAGATTATGTGCTTAATTGGAGTACATTATATTTCTTGGGACTGACTTTGGTTGTTGTTAATCTTGCCTTATGTTTGACGTGTTGTACTCTAATTCTGTACTGTCTTGTGAACTCAGTCTCAGGAAGATGCTTGCTTCTGCATACTAAGCATTGAGTGGACTTAGTATCAGCCCAGCTTTGTGGTCTAAGCTTATTGTTGGATTAAATGGATTTTATCTATGATTGCCTTGGTGATACCTACACGCTGTATTTTGTGGATTTAGTCTTTCACTGCATAGCACTGTAATACCCATGTACGGTCTTTACATGGGGTCATGAATGTGAGGCAGCAGTAGGGTTGGCACACAGACCGCTGCCTCACATTCAGAGAGACTGTGGCTGGTGTCAACCTACTCTGTGTTACTCTGAGAAAATACTTCCCTCAGTCCTTCAGTTGCTTCCTTGTAACATTGCATAGCTCCTGATGAAGCAATGATAAGTGTGAAAGTACAAGAGCTAAAGATTTCCCCCCCCGTGGCTTGTCTTACAATACATACATAATATATAATATATATATATATATATATATATATATATATATATATATATAATATATATAATATATAATAAAAAAAAAAATATAAATATATAGTAAATATATATATATATATATATATATATATATATATATATATATATATATATATATAACACTTGGCTAAAAACAAAGCATGTATATACAGAGAAAGATCGCAAGTCAGCAGTAATTTTCACAATGCAAAAAAAAACTGGGGACGGTCAATGATTCCAGGGGCAGACGCCTGTCTCAGTTTCCATCTCTCGGCACATAAATGCCAGATAGACTGGGCACCTGGGTTCACAGCCATTTTTCTTTCCCAGCCCGGGCACATCAATGAGCTCAATTATGATTCAAGCTATTTTAATCTCCTCCTGTATGTTCTGACCTTCTCAGGATGTGTTTTGTGGTAAATGCACCATGCACAAACAAGTGGGTACATGCAAAGAAAGATCACAGTCAGCAGGACTCGATACTGCTACTGGAGACGGTCACGATTCCCAGGCAGCACTCTTATCCACTCAGCTACGAATGCCACATAAGCTGGGCAGCCTGGTTCACTTGAGAGGTCAGAAGATACAGGAGGAGATTGAAATAGCTTGAATCCATGCGTGAGGTTCACTAACGTGCCCGGCTGGGAAAAAAAACATGGCTTGTGAACCAGGCTGCCCAGCTTATGTGACATTCGTGGCTGAGTGGATAAGATCGCTGCCTGGGAATCTTCACCGTCCCAAGTAGCAGTATTGAGTCCTGCTGACTGAGATCTCTCTCTCTCTCTCTCTCTCTCTCTCTCTTTATATAATATATATATATATATATATATATATATATATATATATATATATATATATATTATATATATATATATATATATGATGGGATCCGTCTCTGGTGCAAATTGTGGGACCAATAGCCTCAGAGAAGTGGATAAAAAGGCTTTGAGGAAGAATATTTGGATTTCTTCTTGAAGCCATTCGAATATTCCACTTTCCTTACCACACCAACTTTTCATTATATTTTACCAATAGGTATATTTTATTACATAATATGTTACAAAAGATTTAAGAGATACATTGCTGGTTTAAAGATGGCATATACAGTGCATGAGGTTTGAGAGATATTTCTAGTATATATTGCTAGTGTTTGTCACTGATTATAATGCGAAAATCTCATCTTTTGCCTAGCTCCTTAAGGAACTTAGATGCACTCTTTCTCCATGAGCCAAGGGTCTCTGAGCCTATGGGAACGAACATATAATGATGGGCAAGTTCTCCATATTTTCTAGACTTTTGGGACTTCCTGAAGCTGGCAGCTGCCCATCCTTCTTCCCTGGTGTATTGGAGATAGGTATCAGCCAAGGTAGATGGACATATGTAATACCACACCACCTGCTTGCCGTCTGTCCAGGCTTGAAGGGTGATACCATCTGAAAGCTTTTGGCTGCCATCAGATCTGCATAGTTGGGGTAGCTTCCTAATTGCTGGGCATCCAGCTATTGTGAGGCCCCTCTTGAAAATGTTATTAACCTCTTCATACCTTGCAATGTTTCCCTCGTATTTACGGCACACATGACCGTGGTAGCAGAATCGGTCTGCTCCTTCACTGCCACAAATATACCTGTTTTCGGAGACAATAGGGGCGGCAAGTCGATGGTCTGTGGGTCGAGGCGTATGCCAAAACTGGAGTTGGAAACAGCCAACAGAAAGTCCCCTGCATGAGGAGTTCTCACTGCCAGGAGGCGGGTTCTATCCTTACTGACACACATTGAAACATTGCTGAGGTTATGTTCTCCACTACTGGGCTATCCCAGTGTGACTGTAGTTGCTGGGGGGCGCAGGTCTGGTTTCAGAGGCCGTTAAATTATCCCAGATCATGGCTCCGTCAACGACTTTTGGTCATAGACTCCAATCTTGTCCCTAAGATATTCAGGGAGAATCGCTGCTACAGGTCCACTGGATGCAATACACGAGGACAGGGAAGCACCTATAGCAAGAAGATGCATTATCAAGTTGGTGAAATCAGTCGGATGAGGCTCTCAAAAATTATTGCATGAAAATCATTATTTAAAGTTTTTTCTTTCTTCTTCCACGAAAAAAAGGAAACTGGAGTTTATACCTGCTAAAGTCTCTCTAAGATTAAACATTTAAGTTTAATTAAGCTCTGAGCAGTACCAAACATTTTTATCAAGTCTTGAGAACGACTATTTATGGAAACATGCAAAACAGTTATGTAATTTCACCAAGGAGAAACTACAAAATTAAATACAGTGACTCTTTTCTCTGAAGAGAGAATCTCCAAATTCGAGAACCACTTGATTATAACAATGACATTACCTACATACCTAGAATCCAGTCAAGTTTGGCTTTAGTTGAGGAAACTATATACTAAAGTTTGAAGCCGACAGAGGAACATTCTCAGTGCTGCATTTAATCCAAATAATTTGCTCCTGCACAACCTTACTCAAGGAAGCTTTACATTCATTCTTAGCGCAGCCATTAAAGATTGATAGACGTTAAGAATGTGTTTTCTTTAAACACAGGAGGAAAAGCTCAAATCCCAAAGGGTCTTTTGCGCCTATGGAATGAGAGTCATTCAGATTTAATTCCATAAAAGAAACTTGATAAGCTCATTCCATGGATCAAGAGCCCTTCAACTACATGAAGACACCCCAGCCACTTTGCTCTCTTCATGGAGACATAATCATTATTAATACAAAATATTGTATGCCATTGAGGATGAAAAAATAGCAAATGGGCTACATTATCCATTAACAATATAACCTTTATAGCATTCACGAACTGTGGAAATTTTAATCCGATCAAAGAGTCCTCAAATTATTGCATGAAACTAGTTCTGAAATGGTTTTATATAAAACTAAACAGGAGGGACAACTAGTACAACCTATAACTCACTTCTTGTTCCCTGAATGATTCTCCAGTTTTAGTGGAACCTGTTTAAATATGAAGTTGATCGATAAGCTGTTCTTGATTTATAAAAGACAGTCCTTGGGACAGTTACTGGAAGAACACCCACTGTGGCGCTCTCTAATAACTTCTACAAATTTAAGTAGTATCCTAAATCTCTCTGAAGAGTAAATTAGGTGAGGTTCGCCAGAACAGGACAAGTTTCATCAAACTGATAACACTTGTCCTAGTCAGCTTATTACCCACCCTTGGAGCTTTTGGTCGTCTGAACCGAGCCTTCCTGCTTACCGGCCACCCCATTAAAATATGTCATGAATAACCATTTTTTTATCGTCTCTGAACAGTAAAACATAAAAAAAAACGACGAATTATTACTGTTACTGTCCTCTTAATTCTCCGACAATCCATTACCTGCAGTTTACTGGAAGTTCCGGGTCAACGCCCCCCGGCCCGGTCTGTGACCAGTCCTGGTGGATCAAGCCTGATCAATCCCGTGTTTAGCGCTGGCTGCACGAAAAAACGTACGGACACAGCCGGCTGGTCAGGAACCTACATTTAGGTGTTGTCCAGCCAGCTTGAAGACTGCCAGGTCTGTTGGTAATCCCTATGTATGCTGGAGGCAGTTGACAGTCTTGGGCCCCTGACACTTATTGTATGGCTCTTAACTGCTATTACACCCCTGCTTTCTTGGGGTTGGTGTCGTCTGCCAAGTCTTTTGCTTTCCGTAGTGAGGATTTTCCGGTGCAAGTTCGTACTAGTCCCTTAGAAATTTTTCAAGTGTATAAATCATGTTCTCTCCTCTCTGCGTTCCAGGGAAACAGTTAGGAACCTCAAGCTCAGTAATTGAGTGTTTATCTCCGTATCGTGCCGTGAAGGTTCTCTGTACATTTTCTAGGTCAGCAATTTCACCGCTGAAAGTGCCGTTAGTGTGCAGCAATATTACCTGATAGAAAAGTGACCTGAAGAGTGTCATCATGGGCGGTTCCCTAGTTTTGACAGGTTCTCATTATCCATCCTGTCATTTCTAGCCAGATGCGTTGATACATGTTATGGCCTTGAAGGTGAGACCCGACATGATCACTCCCAGGTCTTTGACGTTGGTGTTTCGCTCTATTTTGTGGCCAAATTTGTTTTGTACTCTGATGAAGATTTAATTTCCTCATGTTTACCATATCTGAGTAATTGAAATTTCTCATCGTTGAACTTCATATTGTTTTCTGCAGCCCACTAAAAGATTTGGTTGATGTCCGCCGGGAAACCTTGCAGTGTTCTGCAATGGAAGACACTGTCATGCAGATTGGGTGTCATCTGCAAAGGAAGACACGGTGCTGTGGCTGACATCCTTGTCTATGTCGGATATGAGGATGAGGAACAAGATGGGAGCGAGTACTGTGCCTTGTGGAACAGAGCTTTTCACCGTAGCTGCCTCGGACTTTACTCTGTTGACGACTACTCTCTGTGTTCTGTTAGTGAGGAAATTATAGATCCATCGACCGTCTTTTCCTGTTATTCCTTTAGCACGCATTTTGTGCGCTATTCGCCATGGTCACACTTGTCGAAGGCTTTTGCAAAGTCTGTATATATTACATCTGCATTCTTTTTGTCTTCTAGTGCATTTAGGACCTTGTCGTAGTGATCGAATAGTTGAGACAGACAGAGCGACCTGTTCTAAACCCATGTTGCCCTGGGTTGTGTAACTGATGGGTTTCTAGATGGGTGGTGATCTTGCTTCTTAGGACCCTTTCAAAGATTTTTTATGATATGGGATTTTAGTGCTATCGGTCTGTAGTTCTTTGCTGTTGCTTTACTGCCCCCTTTGTGGAGTGGGGCTATGTCTGTTGTTTTTCGTAACTGTGGGACGACCCCCATGTCCATGCTCCCTCTCCATAGGATGGAAAAGGCTCGTGATGGGGGCTTCTTGCATTTTCTTGATGAACACGGAGTTCCATGAGTTGGCCCTGGGGCAGAGTGCATGGGCATGTCATTTATCGCCTGTTCGAAGTCATTTGGCGTCAGGATAACATCGGATAGACTTGTGTTAATCAAATTTGTGGCTCTCTCATAAAAAATTCATTTGATCTTCGACTCTCAGTCTGGTTAGCGGCTTGCTAAAAACTGAGTCATATTGGGACTTGGGGTAGCTCACTCATTTCCTTGCTGTCATCTGTGTAGGACCCATCTTGTTTAAGTAGGGGCCCAATACTGGACGTTGTTCTCGACTTTGATTTGGCATAGGAGAGAAATACTTTGGGTTTCTTTCGATTTCATTTATGGCTTTTAGTTCTTCCCGCGATTCCTGACTCCTAAAGGATTCCTTTAGCTTAAGTTCGATGCTTGCTATTTCTCTGACCAGTGTCTCCCTACGCATTTCAGATATATTGACCTCTTTTAGCCGCTCTGTTATTCTTTTCCGTCGCCTGTAAAGGGAGCGCCTGCCTCTTTCTATTTTACATCTACTCCTCCTTTTTCTTAGAGGAATAAGCCTTGTGCATACATCGAGTGCCACCAAGTTAATTTGTTCTAGGCATAAGTTGGGGTCTGTGTTGCTTAGTATATCTTCCCAGCTTATATCGGTTAGGACTTGGGTTTTTACTTGGTCCACTTTATGTTTTTGTTATTGAAGTTGAATTTGGTGAATGCTCCCTCGTGACTAGTCTCATTATGTCGGTCTGGGGCTCCACGCATACATGTCTGAACCTCAATTATGTTGTGATCTGAGTATATTGTTTTAGATATGGTGACATTTCTTATCAGATCATCATTGTTAGTGAAGATGAGGTCTACTGTATTCTCCAGTCTAGTAGGCTCTATTATTTGCTGGTTTAAATTGAAAATTTGTGCAGAGATTTAAAAAGCTCGTGTGGAGTGTGAGTTTTCATCAGAGCTGCCTCCTGGTGTTATTACTGCAACAATATTATTTGCTATATTCCTCCATTTTAGGTGCCTTAAGTTGAAATCCCCCAGGAGCAAGATGTTGGGTGCAGGAGCTGGAAGATTTGCCAGACAGTGGATCAATTTTTAACAGCTGTTCCTGGAATTGCTGGGATGTTGCATCTGGAGGCTTGTAGACTACCACAATGACTAGGTTTTGGTTCTCGACCTTTACTGCTAAAACTTCCACTACATCATTTGAGGCATTAAGCAGTTCTGTGCAAACAAGTGACTCTGCAATGTACAGGCCAACCCCCCCTTCCTTTTGCCTGTTCACTCTGTCACATCTGTATAGGTTGTAAAACCCGGGATCCATATTTCGTTGTCCAAGTGATCCTTTATGTGGGTCTCAGTGAAAGCCGCGAACATTGCCTTTGCCTCTGCAAGCAGTCCACGGATGAAAGGATTTTGTTGTTTGTTGCTGGGTTTAGACCCTGTATATTTGCAAAGAAGAATGTTATCGGACTGGTGGTATTGTTGGTACTGGGGGGGGGGGATTTTTTTCCGGCATTAGTATCTGTATCTGTTGGTTTGGAGTGGAGGCCATCGACTGTGGTTCCACTCCAGGAATGACTGGATTTGGTGTACGATTTTCTGCCATTTCCTGCCAGTTTTTTTTTTCCCTTTCCCGGGACTAAAAAACCTCTCCCTCTTGAGTGGCTGTGGCTACCAGGTTTTCCATGGCCTGGATGTTTTTTTATCTTTTTGTCCCCTTTAGATGGTATGCCTGACAATTTAAGTTATAGCACAGTCTTTCCTGTACTGAAGAGGTACACAGTTCAGGGTGAAAAAGCTTACAGGAAGGGAGTTTGCATTTTCCTGTTGTCATATGGGCATGGCATTTTCTAGGGTGGTCATAGTTGCACGTCCCGTCTGTTTTTCCAGATTTCCCATGCCTGCAGATACCAAGTGCATAGTATGTGCACAGGCTTGGTTTCCGTTTGCCTTGGGTTTCTGTGACTGTATTCCCTGTTGGTGCATGTTTCCCTGTCTTACTCCTATCCTCCCTAGCACCAACAATGGAGCTCCCACCAGTTGTTTTTGGTAATATATCCTCACTATTGCTAGTGGAGTCCTCTTGTTTGCTATTTCCTGCGGTATTTCTAGTTTGCAATATTGGTTTTATCTTATCTTTGACTACACTTGTTTCCCTACTACTGCTCCTGTCCCCTGGACCAAATCTCCAGCTTCACCATTTCTGTCTCCCAGGACAGCATCTCCAGCTTCACCATTACTGTCTCCCAGGACAGCATCTCCAGCTTCACCATTACTGTCTCCCAGGACAGCACTATCAGCCCCACATTTACTGACTACCAGAACTTCACCTCCAGCCTTACAGTTTCTGACTACATGGCCAGTATCGAGGGCAGTACCATTCAGCCCAGACATTTTATGTTCCCATCTGTTTTTAAACACTGCCCGATTTTATTAAAAAATCTGTAAAATTGACAGATTGGCACATAAAACGCCCGAATTCAATATATCACTTCTTAGTTTTATTGAACAAAGCGTGCAAGTTAAAATTTACATATCTCAACAACAGTGAAAGTTTTAAACCTATCCGAAAGACATATTAATAATAATAGTAGTAGTAATAATAATAATAATAATAATAATAATAATAATAATAATAATAATAATAATAATAATATAATATCTTTATTTCTACCAGTACATGTACAAGGTATACAGTCCTAGCTGACATCAATGATATACTACTATATAGAAAGCCGCTTGTTATGCTGAGCATTTCTGGCAAATTAGGTCAGTTTTTGTCCCAGGATGCGACCCACACCAGTCCACTAACACCCAGGTACCCATTTTACTGATGGGTGAACATGGACAACCGGTGTAAGGAAACACGTCAAATGTTTCCACCCGTTCACCGGGAATCGTACCCGGACCCTCACTGTGTGAAGGGTCCGGGACATTCTCTGGTAATTGTTGTGAATCCAGTTACTCCAAGTTTATTAAAAATTTCGTATATTTTTTTTAATTTGCAGCTACCTTGTCTAAACGAATATACTGTCATACTTCTTACGGAATACATCACCATTAATATTTTGAAGTCTATAAGATGAGGCATTCTTTAGTTATTGAATGGCAATAAATTTCACTATTTACTTAATAAAATAGGCAACTCGGGATTTATGTATCCCAGTAACAACTGAGTCATTAATTTCTAGAAAAGAAAGAGCAAAAGAGCGGAAAATATGAAGGCAGTCAGAGGAGACATTCTCCAGCTCTACACGGATTCCAACAAATAAAATTTATGAAATGAATGAAGTGTATGGACAAGTTTGGCCGCACACGTACTGAACTATAATAACTATTATCCTGGGGGTAAGATACACCAGTCAATAAACACTGGAGTCTTTCCACGAGACGTAGACTCAAAATTTATTTAACGTCATTTAACTGAAATAAAATTTTAACATTATTTCACACATAAAACTGTCAGGTGCGCGTCTACACGCTTCAGTTCTGCTCTCTTACGTCGTCGAATTAGGAGACACTTTTTTCAACATTTGAAGCTAAGCAGCAGAGGATTTTGGAAGTTATCTGAGCTATTCCAGGATGCTGGGAATGGGTTCTACAACTTTTGTCATAGGGCGCTTATACATGTCAATTGTTCCAAGAATTTTGTCACCAGTGTTCAAAATTCGAAGTCGACCGGAAGAGGCGTTCTCGTGTCATAACGAAATTGCAACTAAAAGTTGGGGGAAGACAACAGTTCAAGAAAACTACTGAAAAGTTCTCTTTTTGTGACGCCTAACTTAGCCTTTCGTATTTAAGACAGAGGTATCAGAATTTACTCTTTGTTGATAATAAAGATTATGGGGTTGACCCAGAGGTCTTGAAATTCTAAACCTTTGCCATTGTTCATTATATTTGAGCATTGTTAACCAGACAGTCTTTAAATTCTCAGTCTTTATGCTTCTTGATAACAAGTGTGAGTGTTGTTAACAAGGGGGCGGTGTGTACCTACAGATGGTGGTGCTGGTGGTGCCTCTGGCCACCCAGGAGGAGGTGGACGAACTACAGTCACTTGCTAAGCGTCGAGGTTTGATTCCTGTCTTCCACCGACACAGCATCCACATCCTGCTTCCTCAAAATGAAGTCAAGTTTGTCTAGCAGAGTTTGAATTATTCCTTCTTCTTGCCTTCCACCTGGTCTTTTCCCTCCTCTCCTTCTTCCGCCCTTCATCTTCCTCCTCCCACATTCGCCTCGCACATCTTTCAGTTTCGAGGCTCCAAATTAATTATTATTATTATTACGTTTTTCATAAGAAAATAACTATTTTTCATATTATTATTATCAGTGTTACTACGTTCATTAATATTAATAACTGTTATTATGTTTTCATAATAATAATAATAATAATAATAATAATAATAATAATAATAATAATAATAATAATAATAATAATTATTATTATTATTATTATTATTATTATTATTATTATTATTATTATTATTATTATTATTATTATTATATCTGTTATGATGTCGAATAAAATGTAGAATATTATCACTGGTTTTTCTGATGGTTGGTATTTACCCTCGCTGTTATTATCTAGAATAATGTACACGGTAAGGTATGTGTCACACAGGATATACACGGTAAGGAATGTGTCACACAGGATTATACACGGTAAGGTATGTGTCACACAGGATATACACGGTAAGGTATGTATCACACAGGATATACACGGTAAGGAATGTGTCACACAGGATATACACGGTAAGGTATGTGTCACACAGGATATACACGGTAAGGTATGTGTCACACAGGATATACACGTAAGGTATTGTGTCACACAGGATATACACAGTAAGGTATGTATCACACAGGATATACACAGTAAGGTATGTATCACACAGGATATACACAGTAAGGTATGTATCACACAGGATATACACGGTAAGGTATGTGTCACACAGGATATACACGGTAAGGAATGTGTCACACAGGATATACACGGTAAGGTATGTGTCACACAGGATATACACGGTAAGGTATGTATCACACAGGATATACACGGTAAGGAATGTGTCACACAGGATATACACGGTAAGGTATGGTCACACAGGATATACACGGTAAGGTATGTGTCACACAGGATATACACGGTAAGGTATGTGTCACACAGGATATACACAGTAAGGTATGTATCACACAGGATATACACAGTAAGGTATGTATCACACAGGATATACACAGTAAGGTATGTATCACACAGGATATACACGGTAAGGTATGTGTCACACAGGATATACACAGGTAAGGAATGTGTCACACAGGATTATACACGGTAAGGTATGTGTCACACAGGATATACACGGTAAGGTATGTGTCACACAGGATATACACAGTAAGGTATGTATCACACAGGATATACACAGTAAGGTATGTATCACACAGGATATACTACAGTAAGGATGTATCACACAGGATATTACACAGTAAGGTATGTGTCACCCAGGATATACACAGTAAGGTATGTATCACACAGGATATACACAGTAAGGTATGTATCACACAGGATATACACAGTAAGGTATGTATCACACAGGATACACACAGTAAGGTATGTGTCACACAGGATATACACAGTAAGGTATGTATCACACAGGATATACACAGTAAGGTATGTATCACACAGGATATACACAGTAAGGTATGTGTCACACAGGATATACACAGTAAGGTATGTGTCACACAGGATATACACAGTAAGGTATGTGTCACACAGGATATACACGGTAAGGTATGTGTCACACAGGATATACACTGTAAGGTATGTGTCACACAGGATATACACGGTAAGGTATGTGTCACACAGGATATACACGGTAAGGTATGTGTCACACAGGATATACACGGTAAGGTATGTGTCACACAGGATATACACGGTAAGGTATGTGTCACACAGGATATACACGGTAAGGTATGTGTCACACAGGATATACACGGTAAGGTATGTGTCACACAGGATATACACAGTAAGGTATGTATCACACAGGATATACACAGTAAGGTATGTGTCACACAGGATATACACAGTAAGGTATGTGTCACACAGGATATACACTGTAAGGTATGTGTCACACAGGATATACACGGTAAGGTATGTGTCACACAGGATATACACGGTAAGGTATGTGTCACACAGGATATACACGGTAAGGTATGTGTCACACAGGATATACACGGTAAGGTATGTGTCACACAGGATATACACGGTAAGGTATGTATCACACAGGATATACACAGTAAGGTATGTGTCACACAGGATATACACAGTAAGGTATGTATCACACAGGATATACACAGTAAGGTATGTATCACACAGGATATACACAGTAAGGTATGTGTCACACAGGATATACACTGTAAGGTATGTATCACACAGGATATACACAGTAAGGTATGTGTCACACAGGATATACACAGTAAGGTATGTATCACACAGGATATACACAGTAAGGTATGTGTCACACAGGATATACACAGTAAGGTATGTATCACACAGGATATACACGGTAAGGTATGTATCACACAGGATATACACAGTAAGGTATGTGTCACACAGGATATACACAGTAAGGTATGTGTCACAGGATATACACAGTAAGGTATGTGTCACACAGGATATACACAGTAAGGTATGTATCACACAGGATATACACAGTAAGGTATGTGTCACACAGGATATACACAGTAAGGTATGTGTCACACAGGATATACACGGTAAGGTATGTATCACACAGGATATACACAGTAAGGTATGTGTCACACAGGATATACACAGTAAGGTATGTGTCACACAGGATATACACAGTAAGGTATGTGTCACACAGGATATACACCGTAAGGTATGTGTCACACAGGATATTACACAGTAAGGTATGTGTCACACAGGATATACACAGTAAGGTATGTATCACACAGGATATACACAGTAAGGTATGTGTCACACAGGATATACACAGTAAAGTATGTGTCACACAGGATATACACAGTAAGGTATGTGTCACACAGGATATACACAGTAAGGTATGTGTCACACAGGATATACACAGTAAGGTATGTATCACACAGGATATACACAGTAAGGTATGTGTCACACAGGATATACACGGTAAGGTATGTATCACACAGGATATACACGTTAAGGTATGTGTCACACAGGATATACACAGTAAGGTATGTGTCACACAGGATATACACAGTAAGGTATGTGTCACACAGGATATACACAGTAAGGTATGTATCACACAGGATATACACTGTAAGGTATGTATCACACAGGATATACATGGTAAGGTATGTGTCACACAGGATATACACAGTAAGGTATGTATCACACAGGATATACACTGTAAGGTATGTATCACACAGGATATACACGGTAAGGTATGTATCACACAGGATATACACTGTAAGGTATGTATCACAGAGGATATACACAGTAAGGTATGTATCACACAGGATATACACTGTAAGGTATGTATCACACAGGATATACACAGTAAGGTATGTATCACACAGGATATACACTGTAAGGTATGTATCACACAGGATATACACGGTAAGGTATGTGTCACACAGGATATACACAGTAAGGTATGTGTCACACAGGATATACACAGTAAGGTATGTATCACACAGGATATACACGGTAAGGTATGTGTCACACAGGATATACACAGTAAGGTATGTGTCACACAGGATATACACAGTAAGGTATGTATCACACAGGATATACACGGTAAGGTATGTGTCACACAGGATATACACAGTAAGGTATGCATCACACAGGATATACACTGTAAGGTATGTATCACACAGGATATACACAGTAAGGTATGTATCACACAGGATATACACAGTAAGGTATGTATCACACAGGATATACACGGGAAGGTATATATCACACGGGATATACACAGTAAGGTATGTATCACACAGTATCGTTCAATGTATATACACTAGGAGGTGTGTATGCCTCGGACAGTGTGAACTGGGTGGTGTGTATTTTCCAGTGTATATACCCGGGGAAGTATCTGTATATACAGCGAGAGATTTGTATCTCAGTGTATATAGAGCACGAGGTGTCTGTGAGTGTATATACATTGAGAGGTACATTTCTCAGTGAAGTGTGGCAGTGTGGGGCAGTTTACCCGTCCTGGTGTGGCAGTGTGGGGCAGTCTACTCGTCCTGGTGTGGCAGTGTGGGGCAGGTTACCCGTCCTGGTGTGGCAGTGTGGAGCAGGCTACCCGTCCTGGTGTGGCAGTGTGGGGCAGTCTACCCGTCCTGGTGTGGCAGTGTGGGGCAGTCTACCCGTCGTGGTGTGGCAGTGTGGGGCAGTCTACCTGTCCTTGTGTGCAGTGTGGGTCAGTCTACCCGTCCTGGTGTGGCAGTGTGGGGCAGTCTACCTGTCCTGGTGTGGCAGTGTGGGGCAGTCTACCCGTCCTGGCGTGGCAGTGTGGGGCAGTCTACCCGTCCTGGTGTGGCAGTGTGGGGCAGGTTACCCGTCCTGGTGTGGCAGTGTGGGGCAGTCTACTTGTCCTGGTGTGGCAGTGTGGGGCAATCTACCCGTCCTGGTGTGGCAGTGTGGGGCAGGTTACCGGTCCTGGTGTGGCAGTGTGGGGCAGTCTACTTGTCCTGGTGTGGCAGTGTGGGGCAGTCTACCCGTCCTGGTGTGGCAGTGTGGGGCAGTCTACTTGTCCTGGTGTGGCAGTGTGGGGCAGTCTACCCGTCCTGGTGTGGCAGTGTGGGGCAGTCTACCCGTCCTGGTGTGGCAGTGTGGGGCAGGTTACCCGTCCTGGTGTGGCAGTGTGGGGCAGTCTACTTGTCCTGGTGTGGCAGTGTGGGGCAGGTTACCCGTCCTGGTGTGGCAGTGTGGGGCAGTTACTTGTCCTGGTGTGGCAGTGTGGGCAGTCTACCCGTCCTGGTGTGGCAGTGTGGGGCAGGTTACCCGTCCAGGTGTGGCAGTGTGGGGCAGTCTACTTGTCCTGGTGTGGCAGTGTGGGGCAGTCTACCCGTCCTGGTGTGGCAGTGTGGGGCAGTCTACTTGTCCTGGTGTGGCAGTGTGGGGCAGTCTACCCGTCCTGGTGTGGCAGTGTGGGGCAGTCTACCCGTCCTGGTGTGGCAGTGTGGGGCAGGTTACCCGTCCTGGTGTGGCAGTGTGGGGCAGTCTACTTGTCCTGGTGTGGCAGTGTGGGGCAGTCTACCCGTCCTGGTGTGGCAGTGTGGGGCAGGTTACCCGTCCTGGTGTGGCAGTGTGGGGCAGTCTACCCGTCCTGGTGTGGCAGTGTGGGGCAGTCTACC